CTAGCTTCTGACTTGTGAGTGGCAGACCTTGGTTTGAGATTCCAGCTCTTCCTTGAGAGCAGCAGGAGGAGTCCAGATTGAGATCTTCAGGTTTGGCTCCCTTAGGTAGGCAGGCAGGTTTACAGGCAAAGCTCCTCCAGAGCTTCAGGTTTAGACGGGTTTCCTGTGAGCAAGAAGACAAAGGCAGATTAGAATCAGGTTTCTCTCTAGAGGCAACTAAGATTCAATCAGGATAACAGAGGCTCAGGTTCGCTAACCAAACTTGGTCAACACTGCGGCGTTGAAGGAAGGTCTGGCTGCTCCTTATGTAGGAAGGTCTCCTGATGGGCTGATGAGCGTCAGGTGTGCTGGAGGGCTCCAGCCCAGGAGACCCACAGCGCACTCTGCTAAAGAAAGGTGGTGAATCTCCAGATCCCAACAGATTTTGTATGGACCGATGAACCTGGGAGAGAGTTTGTGGGACATGGACTTGAGAGGAATGTCACGTGTGGAGAGCGAAACCTGTTGTCCGGGTGTATAGGTGGGAGCAGGACGTCGTTTGCGGTCAGCGTTTTTTGTTTTGAGCAGATGTCCGGTTCAGAGTGGCAATGGTGTCCTTCCAGATTTTATGACAACGGCGGATGTGGTGCTGAACTGATGGAACGGAAATTTCCTTTTCGTCAGCAGGGAACAGGGGTGGCTGATAACCTAGAGAGATTTCAAAAGGGGACAGACCGGTTGCAGAAGATGTGTGAGAATTATGTGTGTATTCTACCCAGTGTAGATATTGGCTCCAGTAGATCGGGTTGGTTGAAGTGAAGCATCGGAGGGTTGATTCCAGTTTCTGATTTAGACGTTCTGTTTGACCGTTGGATTGTGGATGATAACCTGATGTCAGAGAGATATTTGTGTCAAGAGCAGAACAGAAGTGTTTCCAGACCTGTACGGTGAATTGAGGCCCTCTGTCTGACAAAATCTCCTGGGGAATTCCATGGAGCTTGAAAACATGTTTAAACCAGAAGCTGCGCTGTTTGGAAGGCAGTCGGAAGTTTCCTGAGGGGAACAAGATGACAGGCTTTTGAGAATCGATCTATTATGGTGAGGATGGTGGTCATACCTCTGGATGCGGGCAAACCGGTCACAAAATCCACGGCGATGTGGGACCAGGGGCGAGATGGAACAGGTAGCGGATGAAGAAGACCAGAGGGAGGTTGGTGTGAAGGTTTATTTCGAGCACAGATGGAACAGGCTAGGAAATACTCTTTCATATCCTTGTGAAGGGATGGCCACCAGAAACAGCGAGAGATCAGGGCAATGGTTCTGCTTACACCGGTGTGAGCAGAAAACTTGGCTGAATTCATCAAGTGGATGAGACGGGACCTGACAGAAGAGGGAACATAGGTTTTGTTGGGTGGACCATTACCTGGGTCGGGTTCAGAAGCTTGGGCCAGTTTTATTAAATCAGAATCAGCTCCTCCAAATCCGAGGCCATGGTTCTCGACCGGAAAAAGGTGGCATGTCCCCTTCGGGTTGGAGGGGAGTCCTTGCCTCAAGTGGAGGAGTTCAAGTATCT